TTATTTTTATTATTATTATTATTATTATTATTATTATTATTGATAATAATAATAATAATAATAATAATAATAATAATAATAATAATAATAATAGTAATAATAAACACAAATTATGCAATTAGATATCTTGTGTTGTTGGAGAATTGACAACTTTGTAAAGTCCTCTGAGACGAATGCTGTTGTGATTTATGGTGATACACAAATGACCCATATTATGACTAAAGGACTACTATGACTCTGCGCATCATTCATTATATTGTTCTTATGTGTTAAGGTTTTCTAACCAGGTCGTCAAAGATGCAAACAAATACATTGTAGAATTATTAATATTATTATTGATAAAGAAAATCATTGAGACATTTATGGAGTGTAAAAAAGTTTTATAGACACTTCAAAAGCTGTACGTTTTCCTTTTCCTCTTTGTTCTGATCTAAATGTTTGTTGTTTGTATTTTGTTAAAGATGCTTCTGCAGTTTTCCAATAATAATCGTCTGTTTTAATACTATGAAATAAAGTCTGTCTCATCACACGTGTGTTGAACATAAACATGAAGACTGAGCTGAAATATTTTAATTCTAATGAAATAAAAAGAAAGGGAATATTTAGAGCATTGATCTAAACTCAAGCTAAACTAAAACTTGATCATTATATTTTTTGCACAGCAGTCGTCTCGGATGACATTAAAAAGCCAACTTTACATTCACCAACAACAGATCAGCGAATCTCAGGATCACAGGAAACAAAGGAGTCATGGATCCATAGGGAGCGGGACGACCACTGTTAGACCCTCCTGGATCGGCAAGGAACAAGTCAAAAAACAGTGGGAAAAAAATATTTGGAAACATTGGGGAGGCCCATATTGAGAGAGGGGCTGTAAATCCAGGACTGAGGCTGTAGATCCAGGACTGAGGCTGTGGAACACATTTTGTATTTTGTACTCGCCGTCATTTACTATCAAATAATTGTAACATAATATTACGGTCATCACAAGCTCAGAAAAAGGCAAAACATTTTAGAAAAACTTTTTAAATGTTCTAATAGAACTTAGAAAATGTGGGTGAGCTTTGTACTTTTTCATCAAAAGCCAAGGATTTAAAGGCAAAAGCTTGAACTGTGAGAACCTCTTAAAAATGGCATAATATTCAAAACACATCACAGGCAAAGAAAAGAGAGCTCTAAACAAGGTGCTCCGCTCTGCAAAGATGACTGTGAGTTTCCTGTTCTGGAGGTTCTTTATAAATCCAGAATTTTAAACCGAGGTCGAAGAATAATCAATGACTCGTCTGGCCACCCTGGAACAACCATGTTCCAGCTTCTCCCTCTGGCAGAAGATATTGTTCACTGAGATGCATTACATCTCGATTTGCTAAAAGCTTCTTTCCACATCTTGCACTTGTATTGAAACTGTTTTAGTCGATCAATTTCACACTGTCAATGGTTTACTGTTCTGTAAACATGTACTTGTCTTGTGCACACTGTGGCCTTTTGCAAATGTATTCCAATGAGAGAGAGAGAGAGAGAGAGAGAGAGAGAGAGAGAGAGAGAGAGAGAGAGAGAGAGAGAGAGAGAGAGAGAGAGAGAGAGAGAGAGAGAGAGAGACTGGACTCCTGAGAGAGACCAGAATCCTGAAAGAGACCAGAATCCTGAGAGAGACCAGAATCCTGAGAATGTCCTGAGAGAAACCAGAGAAAGAAACCAGAGTCCTGAGAGAAAGAGAGAGACCAGAGACTAGAAAGAGACCAGAGAGAAACTAGAGAGAGGGACCAGAGTCTGGATTTATTCCTCTGAGGACGAGCCGTTATAGTGAACACAGGTCTATGGGGTAATCTCTCTACAGCCCGTGTGGATTTAGGCTGCAGTACCGCGGGTGGCCTCTAGTCCATGTGGAGACAGGTTTAAGCAGTAACACCCTCCACCCAACACCTCACATCTGTGCTTCAGCCTCAACACTGTTACTCCGTGAATGGTTCCACTCTCTGCCCTCGCGGCGTCACCTCTGTTTGAGTTCTGCCTGATATAAATAGCTTTCGCCCGCAGTGGTAATAAAAGTAGTGTGCGTCGTCCGCCGGGTATTTGGGCGTATGTTAGGATGGATGCGGAGCTTTGGGGGGAGGGGCTGAGGGAGAGGGGGGGATATTAAAGATTAATAAAGCGTGTGTACATATTGGCGCTCTCTGGAGTCATGTGTTTTTCCGTTGTGGCGTTATGGAGACTGGAGGAGGTGCGTTTTCTCACGGGCTACAACCAACCTGCTGTAATTTCATCATAATAAATCCAGGAAAAAAGCGCCGCAAGAGAGAACAGGGGGAAGAGGTGCAACTTAAGTGAATGAGTAAGTGACATTAGACATGAGGGCAAACAAATATTTCTTCTATACGACTATGACTGAAAAAGAGAGAGTATCTTGAAAGTTCAATTCAATTCATTTTTGTAAAGCCCTAGATCACAACGGTATTTATTTCGGAGGACGATTCACCAACACACCTCAGAGAATCAAACTGTTACAAACCAAGGAAATGCAACTTTAAATAGATCATCACCGCTGGCCTTAGACCCTCCTCGAGAGACACTGTTCAGACTTGGACTTTGTTTTGAGCTCTATCCGCTAATATACAGCTAATATCAGACACTTCTGACACAATTGAAATACAAAGATTAATTGACAGTACTTTTGACATGTGAGGAGAGTACCCTGTTGCTCAAATGCAGATGTTTTATTTTGGACCACAGAGAGAAACCACAGAGAGAGTCCAGAGAGAGAGAGACCAGAGAGAGACCACACAACAACAAAATTATGTTGTAATAATTGCTTGAAGCAAGTGGATTTTTTCTTAATTTCAGTTAATTGACTATCTTTGCTTTTTTTCATTTCCAAGGGAGACATTTCTTGTATTTTAAAAAAAACAAGGTTTTTTGCTAGTTCCATTGGCAAATCTTGTTTCAAGGCAGTCAAATTGTGCTCAAATGAACATACATTCAGAAGAAAAACAGAGAGACAAGAGAGAGACATGATCAAGAATGAACGAAGGGACACTATGTTTAAGGTGAATTAAAGCTGTTTTAACTGTTGTTTGTTTGATTACTGTGTAGGTTTCATACAGATTTTATTGCACCATCTACTTTACTGTGGCCGCTAACGCTAGCTGTCAGGATTATCATTAGCTTTGATGCTTGTTTCACCACATATTGTTAATTGTATTTAAAATTTGTGGTATTCATATTTATAATTTGATTGATACAAAATCATGGCAAAAAATATTTCTGTTATATGAGAAAAAATCCTGAACATCTTTAAATCTTGCATGTTTTGTTTCAGTCAAAGTAATCTTCCGCTGGTCTCCTGGAGGTGAGCTGAATGCCAGAGATGCATACGTCTCTATATGATGCGTGGGAGACGCATTAGCGCTTTGTGCTGCTGCTGCTTTTTCTTCAATAATGGCCACCACGGGACCTGGTGATGTCTACAGCACAACAGCAGTATAAGCACTTCACACAAACTTCAGCAGCACCTGACCGGAACCGGAGGCTCACCACAAAGAGAGACCAGTGAGACCAGAAAGAGAGAGCAGAAAGAGAGGGACTAGACAGACTAGAGATGGACTAAAGAGACCAAGAAGACCAGACACCTTTCCGTGTATACCTACAGTGACGAGATTAGAAAAAAGGGCTCCCAGACCAAAAGGCGACAGCATGACTATATTGGTGGAGTTGAAGTTGGCTGGATGACAGATTGAAAGCACCTCACAGTCTCCCCACACTCTTCTTGTTGTGACTGTTGGTCAATGGTTTTCAGAAGGCCTGGTGTTGGAGGGTCTGGGAAACATGGGGGTAATTACAAAACAGTCCTACTGAAAACTATTGCAACAGTCACAACAAGAAGAGTGTGGGGAGACTGTGAGGTGCTTTCAACGTGTCATCCAGCCAACTTCAGCTCCACTAATTAAATCATGCTGTCCTGATTCTACAGCCTCAGTCCTGGATCTACAGCTTGTTCGTCCATGGGAGCACATCCCTCTCTCAAATGAGCCTGAAGGTTTCTCACAATTGTTCCCATTGCCGATGAAGGAGGGTCAAAGGACAGAGATGATCCAGAACATTTAGTAACATTTCTGGACAGTGGTCATCCTGCTCCCTAGGCAAGGCAAGCAAAGGCAAGTTTATTAGTATAGCACAATTCATATACAAGGCAACACAAAGTGTTGAACAAAATAAAGCATTAAAATCATAAATAATCACAGTACATTAAAAAGAAACATTATATATGGACCTATGGCTCTGAAGTGTTTGTTATTATTGCATTTCCTTGTGTTCAAACTGTTTTATTCTCTGAACAACAACTTTGTAAAGTCTTCAAGATGACGGCTGTTGTGCTTTAGGGCAATACACAAATACATACAACTGAATGTCCTGAATATCATACCCTATTGTTGAAGCCCAAACCGCTGAAGTCCAGTCAAAACAGTTATAAAATCCATGTAGTCGGGTGAACAAAAGTGGCCCTCTTACTGAAAAGTTTGGGCACCCCTGGTCTAAACTTTCCTCAAAATTCCCTCAAAACAATAAAAAACCTGTGTGTTTGTTCTCCTCTGATCTGCGCCGAGCCGCCATGATGAAACACCAATAAACCGCTGCGCTCCTCCCCATTGATATTCCTCCACGGGTTTTTGTGTCTGTCATATAGCGTTTCAACACTGCACCGTTCCGCGCTGGCTTCCGAATAGAGCTATTTAAAAACGCTGTACATTCTCCACGCACAGAGAATGCAGCGCGCCACTGTCGGCTTAATGCTTTCAATCCCGAATGAAAGCGCGTCGCGGTTGGGGTAGCCTCCACGCGCGCTGGAATATCAGTGCGGCACCAGGGTATAGACGTATGTGTGTGAAAACTTGGCTGCGGTTTCCGTGTCAGAATTAGCCTGTGTACTCCAGCGCTTTCTTCACACCCTGCTGTTTACCCCTGATAATTTCGTGTCCGCGCTCTTCTCTTCAGGCGTTTAAAACCTTGTGATGTCGCGCTTTGGCTCTGCAGGATAGAAGCGCCCGCCGATCGGAGTGGCCAAGCAATTAGCGAGTTCAAACGCCCAGCTATCACTCGCCTCTGATTTGGAGGCTTTTTTCAGGCTCTTTCTTCCCTTGCGCGTTTCATGCCGGCTCTAATAGAGATGCGCGTCAGTGTTAGCTTACACGGATGAGAGTTTTGCTTCTCGGGATCGGAGTGACGGCAGCGGGAGGCGGCGTGTTGGAATATAACCGTTTAACCTTTTGGCGAGACTCTTGTGTTGCGTGAAGGAGTTACGATGTTAAGCAAAGAACTAGTGCAATATCAATCAGAGCGGAGGTCGGAATGAAATACTGGCAGGGTAACTTTTGATTAAAAAAACAGTGTTGTATGACTCTCAGGGCAACGCTTTAGGGCTGTGAGACAGAACAAACTCTTTGTGTATTTGTGATGTAAATCAACATTAACTTATTCAAAGACATTTTGATTCAAACACAAGGCATGTTTAACAGTTCTTCTGTGATGGCAGCAAGATCAGCTGATAGATGTCAGCCTCAGTCCTGGATCCACTGCCTCAGTCCTGGATCTGCTGCCTCAATCCTGGATCTACAGCCTCAGTCCTGGATCTACAGCCTCAGTCCTGGATCTGCTGCCTCAGTCCTGGATCTGCTGCCTCAGTCCTGGATCTACAGCCTCAGTCCTGGATCTACAGCCTCAGTCCTGGATCTGCTGCCTCAGTCCTGGATCTACAGCCTCAGTCCTGGATCTACAGCCTCAGTCCTGGATCTACAGCCTCAGTCCTGGATCGACAGCCTCAGTCCTGGATCTGAAACCTCAGGCCTGGATTTACAGTTTGTCCATGGGAGCGATATTGGCCTCCACAAGGTTTCTCACTTTTTTTTCCCACTTTTTAGTTTTAGTAGTTCCTTGCTGATACAGAAGTGTCTAAGGACAGTGATGATCTGAGACATTTCTGGACAGCGGTCATCCCACTCCCTATGACCAGTGGCTCCTACAGTGCCTTGCGAAAGTATTCGGCCCCCTTGAACCTTTCAATATTTCACCACATTTCATGCTTCAAACATAAAGACATAAAAAAACACTTTTTTTTGTCAAGAATCAACAACAAGTGGGACACAATCGTGAAGTGGAACGAAATTTATTGGATAATTTAAACTTTAAACCATCCCCACTGGCAACCATGATGCTGCCACCACCATGTTTGACAGTGGGGATGGTGTGTTCAGGGTGATGAGCTGTGTTGCTTTTACGCCAAACATATCGTTTTGCATTGTGGCCAAAAAGTTCGATTTTGGTTTCATCTGACCAGAGCACCTTCTTCCACATGTTTGGTGTGTCTCCCAGGTGGCTTGTGGCAAACTTTAAACGAGACTTTTTATGGACATCTTTGAGAAATAGCTTTCTTCTTGCCACTCTTCCATAAAGGCCAGATTTGTGCAGTGCACGACTGATTGTTGTCCTATGGACAGACTCTCCCACCTCAGCTGTAGTTATCTGCAGTTCATCCAGAGTGATCATGGGCCTCTTGGCTGCATCTCTGATCAGTCTTCTCCTTGTTTGAGATGAAAGTTTGGAGGGACGGCCGGGTCTTGGTAGATTTGCAGTGGTCTGATACATTTCAATATAATTGCTTGCACAGTGCTCCTTGAGATGTTTAAAGCTTGGGAAATCTTTTTGCATCCAAATCCGGCTTTAAACTTATCTCGGACCTGCCTGGTGTGTTCCTTTGTCTTCATGGTTCTCTCTGCGCTTTAAACAGAACCCTGAGACTATCAAAGAGCAGGTGCATTTATACGGAGACTTGATCACACACAGGTGCATTCTATTTATCATCATCAGTCATTTAGGACAACATTGGATCATTCAAAGATCCTCACTGAACTTCTGGACTGAGTTTGCTGCACTGAAAGTAAAGGGGCCCAATAATATTGCACGCCCCACTTTTCAGTTTTTTATTTGTTAAAAAAGTTTAAATTATCCAATACATTTTGTTCCACTTCACGATTGTGTCCCACTTGTTGTTAATTCATGCCAAAAAAATATTTTTTTATATCTTTATGTTTCGAATTATCGAAACATTTGTTTGTCTTTATAATAAGCACTGTCCTATTAAACTATATCGTAAGACCAAAAGCATAATAAACAGTCCATGGCTTACGAGGGGAATCCTGAACAGTTGTAAAAAGAAACAGAATCTTTATAGAATCTTCATCAAGCTAAAGACTAGTCAATCAAATACAAAAAAAATTGAAGACGCTGAACAAAGGTACAAGACCTATAAAAATAAACTAACAAATATAATTCGGTCTAGTAAGCAATTATACTATACAAGAATTCTAGAAGAAAATAAACATAATATTAAAAAAACTTGGGGCATACTAAATAGTGTAATAAAACAAGGATCATCTAAAAAAGTGTATCCTAATTACTTTGAAGATATAAGTGGTGACAATCATGACATGAACAAAATAGTAAATGGTTTTAATTGTTTCTTTGTAAATGTTGGTCCTCAATTGTCAAATGAAATCCCTGTTCAGAGTTCCCCACCAAGCAGTGATGTAATCGAAACAAATCCGTACTCAATTTTTATCACAGCAACCGATGAACAAGAAGTAAAAGAAACAGTACTCAAATTTAAAAGTAAACTTTCTACAGACTGTGACGATATCGACATGGCACTTGTAAAATTAGTCATCCATAATATTGTTAAACCTCTGACGTACATTTGTAATCTATCCTTCCAGTCTGGTTGTTTTCCGAACAAAATGAAAGTTGCTAAAGTTATACCAGTATTTAAGAGTGGGAACAGCCATAGCTTTACAAATTACAGACCAATTTCCCTGCTGCCACAGTTCTCAAAAGTTTTAGAAAAAATATTTGCTGCTCGGTTGGAAAAGTTTGTTGAAAAATATGGGCTGTTAAATGAGAGTCAATATGGATTCAGAGCGAAAAGAACCACCAGCATGGCCTTAACTGAGGCAGTTGAAGAGATAACAAATGCAATAGAACACAAATTACATGCAATTGGAATTTTTATAGACCTGAGAAAAGCTTTCGATACCATTAACCACTCAATATTGTTGGTAAAGCTTCAGAAATATGGTGTCAGGGGTGTAGCGGGGAACTGGCTAAAAGATTATCTCACAGAAAGAGCACAGTTTGTTCAAATGGAACATTATGTCTCTGAAAGTCTTGGCATTGCGTGTGGTGTCCCCCAGGGGTCAGTGTTGGGACCTATGTTGTTTAACCTGTATATTAATGATATTTTCAATGTGTCAAAGTCTTTAAAACTAATTCTTTTTGCAGATGACACTAACATTTTCTACAGTAGTTCGGACTCATCAGAATTAATCAACACTGTAAATATTGAGCTAAATAAACTTAAAAAATGGATGGACACAAATAAATTGTCATTAAACGTAAATAAAACAAAAGTAATGACATTTGGTTACACGAAAGCATGTCCAAATTTAAAAATTTTCATTGATGGAGCCGAAATTGAAAATGTTACTGAAAACAAATTCCTAGGGGTAGTTATGGACAACAGCTTATCATGGAAAGCTCATATAAGTCATATAAAGACCAAAATAGCAAAAAATCTCTCAATTATAAATAAGGCTAAACACTACCTTGATACTCACACACTACGCTCGTTATATTGTTCATTGGTTCTACCCTATCTGACATACTGTGTCGAAGTGTGGGGGAACAATTACCATTGTACAATAAAACCTTTATTATTATTGCAAAAACGAGCTGTGCGAATCATTCACAAAGCAAGCTACCTACAACACACTCATGAACTTTTTACCCAATCTAAATTATTGAAGTTTCCAGACCTTGTTAAGCTCTACACATCAATTGTGCTATTTAAAGCATTTAACAAATTGCTACCATGTAAAATACAACAATACTTTATTCTTAATGAAAAAACATATAATCTAAGAGGTCTTGGAAACTTCAAACTTCCAAAATTCCGATCGACTCGTAAAAGTTTCTGTGTGACTGTATGTGGCGTGAAATTGTGGAATGTTCTTGATCTTCAACTAAAACAATGCCAAGACATTCATAGATTTAAATCACTGTACAAAAACAATGTTTGGTCTGACTATAGAGGGAATATGCCTTGAATATATCTTCATGTTGCCATGTATGTATGTTTCTTGTATGTTTGTAATTGCCCCTGTTGTTGTTTCTTTATCATTGCTGTATCCTTACCATTGTTGGTATTGTCTGTTCCTTACCATTGTTGGTATCGTATGTTCCTTACCATTGTTGGTATTTTCTGTTCCTTACCATTGTTGGTATTTGCTGTCCCTATGTACCATATTGGTATTTACTGTCTTTACCATTGCTGGTATTTTCCTTATGCATTTGTTTTGCATCCTTGTAATACGTATCTTGTGTGTATATGTCCTTAAACCCATTAATTGCTACTTAAAAAACCTGAACAGTTGATTCAAATGTGCCATTTGATTTGTTTTTTGTACTTGAGCAAATGGGAAGCTCAATGAATAATGTTTTGTTTTGTTTTTTCTTTAAGGCACCAGGGGTGGGATTAAATAAGTTTTCTTCTTCCCACTCCTTTTCGAGTATCTGTAAGTGTTTCTTTTGTGTATATAATATTCATAATTTTGTATAATGTAGATATAGCTCAGGGTTATTTATACACAACTTTGATATTCTACTTTTGTTTTTCTGTACACATATTTACTCGAAATAAACAAACTTTGATTGATTGATTGATAAAGCCTGAAATATGGCGAAATGTTGAAAGGTTCAACTTATGTGTTTGTTTTTTTGTGTTTCTTCAACTCTAATTTTACGTTTTCACATAATTCACCTTCACGCTTTTCCAACATAATACAAACAGGACACAGGCACAAACATGTTAAAAACACATCCACAAAGACATATAGGGACAGAGAATTACATGTCTTTAAATGTGTAAAAATATTAGCGTGACAAAATTGCTTTATAGAATTGTCTCCTGTTCTCCTCTCTCTCTGTTCTGTCTTGAATGTGAGCAGCTAAACAATGCATGTATTTGAAAACTAGTGAGATGCATAGACTGTGTACAGATGGACAATGCTAACCCTATTTCTCAACGAGGCCCAGGGAACATCAGGGTGTGATGATGGGACCCCTGAACCTGGCCTCTTTTATCCCAATGTGTGAATCGGTTTCCCCTGATCCGGACTCGTGGGCGCAGTCTCAGTCCTGGATCTACAGCCTCAGTCCTTGGTCTACAGCCTCAGTCCTGGATCTACAGCCTGTTCATCCGTGAGAGCTGATCCCTCTTAATATTGGCCTCCCTGTGGTTTCTCACTTTTTGCCAATTGTTTGGAACTGTTTGATTCTCTGTGTTGTTGGCTAATTATCAACATTGTAAAGTCCTCTGAAACAAATGATTCTGTGATTTAGGGTGAAAATAATTAAATTGAACTCAATTGAATTCAATAGGGAAGTACTCATGGTGAAGTTTATAAGTAAACTTTTAAGCTCAGTAATTTGATGATTACTGTGATTTAGAGCTCTCTGCAATCCTGGTTTTATTTTTTGATAACGTTTTGGCTCTAAAACAGTTGCATCCATCACTATTTTTCACCGGGATATGTTTTTGCCTCACGTCTTCAGATCAGCTTCTCAGCTTGAGTCGCCTTGTCTCCATGGCTCGTGCTCTGCTCCTCGCACAAACAATAAGTTGAGTTGTATGTTATACTTACTTTTCACCTTCCAGTCTCCCCCTCCCCCTCCCCTCTCTTCTGACTCTGCGGTTAGACGGTGATTTCCCATGGTGCCGAGCGCTTTGGAGAGGGCCCCGTGCTGCTGACTGGGTGCTGTCTGCGCACACAGGCGTGACAGACGAGCAGGGGACCCAAGGGTGCTACGGGGCACGGGGAAATCACTCATTACTCCAGCTCCTCACTATTAACATCAGTCAACAGACCGCGCCCTGATGGTGCTAGAGGAGTGCAGCTGCCAAAAGCTCTGCATCCACTCAGCTCTACTCTACTTTACTCTACGCCAATTGGGAGTGTTTCCGCCGGTGTTCTGTCGAGCCGTGCACCCCTTGTCAAAAAGTGCATTCCCACGCCCCCGAAACCAACTTTCCATTGCTTAATGATGCTTATATAATAAAAAGGGCCGACATATTTATAATGTATTAGTTTTAATGAAAGGTTACAAAATGGAGGTTATTTCGTTAAAGCGATTGTCTGGAGTTTGTCAGAAAAAAGAGAGCGCGGTATATGATTTGAAAAAAACAACCCAAGCTCCCTCCCCCTTCTTTTCTGATTGGTCTACGCCTTCGTTTCCGTAACAATCAATCAACACATTATACATATACATTATTAATACACATGCACAGAGGTTTTTGGAATTATTTGTTAACGTTTTCATGAAAAAATAATCAATCAATCAATCTTTATTTATAGAGCGCTTTTCCTACTCAGGGCCTCACAGTCCACACCACACAAGTCGCAAATCATCACCATTAAAAATACAATTAAAAACACACAGGTAATTAAAAACATTAAAATCACACAAGTAATTAAAAACCATTAAAAACACCCAAAGAGTTACAATAATAAATAACAAGGTGTGTTAAAAAGACAAAATTCTTCAGTTGTATGCACAGGAAAAAACCTGGATCTTTAACCTGGATTTGAACATCGACAGAGAGGCAGCCAGTCTCACATCCTCAGAAAGACTGTTTCAGACCTTAGCTGCATAAATCTGAAAAGCAGCCTCCCCATGTCTAGTCCTGACTCTGGGCACTAACAGGAGTCCCGTCCCTGCGCTCTTCAGAGTCCGGGCCAGTTCATATGGCACTAGCATGTCATGGATGTACTTTGGTGCGAGGCCATGGAGAGACTTGTAACAAGCAGAGCTGCTTTAAAGTCTATTCTCTGAGCCACAGGAAGCCAGTGCAGAGACCTGAGGACTGGACTGGTGTGGTCGCACTTCCTGGTTCTAGTCAGGACTCAGGCTGCAGCATTTTGAATATACTGCAGCTGTTTTACAGCCTGTTTGGAGATACCTGTGAGCAAAACATTACAGTAATCTAGCCTACTGGAGACAAAAGAATGGATAAGAATCTCCAGATCTGCTTTGGACACAACATTTTTAATTTTGGCAATATTTTTCAGGTGGTAAAAAGCTGCTGATGTTACCGATCCAATATGGCTATTGAAGTTTAAGTCAGAGTCCATTATCACTCCCAGATTTTTGACCTTATTTAAAGGTTTTAGGGAGAGAGACTGTAGGTGATAAATGATGGTCTCTCTTTGTTTCTCGGGACCAAAAACAATTATTTCGGTTTTCTCTGCCTTTAGCTGGAGAAAATTGTATTGCATCCACTCACTGATCTGTTGGATACAGTGAAGGAGTGAGTCCACTGGTCCATGTTATCCTGCAGTCAGTGAGACATAGATTTGAGTGTCATCAGCATAATTGTGGTAGGACACTTTCATACGTTGAATTAACTGACCTAATGGCAGCATGTAGACATTGAACAGGAGAGGTCCCAGGATCAACCCCTGTGGCACTGGTCAGGGCCATATTATCTGAGACATAGTCTCCAATCTCCACACAGTACTTCCTTTCTTCTAGATAGGACCTAAACCAGCTTAGGGCGGTGCCAGCAACACCAACCCAGTCCTCCAGTCTCTGCATGAGTACTGCGTGTTGAAAGCGGCACTCGGATCTAACATGACTAAAACAGAGACTTTTCCTGCATCAGTGTTAAGCTGAATATCATTCGTTACCTTTACTAGAGCGGTCTCTTGTGCTGTGGTGGGGTCTAAAGCCAGACTGGACCATATCAAATGAGTCATTAGTTATTACAAATTCTGTAAGTTGTTGGTAGGCAACTTTTTCAAGAATTTTTCCCATGAAAGGCAGATTTGAGATGGGACGGTAATTTTCAAGTACTCTTTTTTAAGATCAGTGCACACTAGGGTAGTCTTGCACAGTTTTTCCAATGTAATTTTACTGCAAATGGCAAATAAAAGAACCTGAATCTAAATCTGAAGAGGGGCCTGATAACTGCCGTTTTCAGGGCCATTGGAAATGTTCCAGATAAAAGAGACATGTTTACCATTTTTGTCAATGAGGGTAATAGACTACTCAGAACAGAATGTGTTCTGATTTGAATGTGTTTCGATTTGAATGTGTTTCGATTTGAATGTGTTTCGATTTGAATGTGTTCTGATTTGAATGTGTTCTGATTTGAATGTGTTTCGATTTGAATGTGTTTCGATTTGAATGTGTTTCGATTTGAATGTGTTTCGATTTGAATGTGTTTCGATTTGAATTTGTTTTGATTTGAATGTGTTCTGATTTGAATGTGTTTTGATTTGAATTTGTTTTGATTTGAATTTGTTTTGATTTGAATGTGTTCTGATTTGAATGTGTTTTGATTTGAATTTGTTTTGGTATGTTTTGGTTTTAATTTGTTTTGATTTGAATGCGTTTTGATTTGAATTTGTTTTGATTTGAATTTGTTTTGATTTGAATTTGTTTTGATTTGAATTTGTTTTGATTTGAATTTGTTTTGGTATGTTTTGATTTGAATGTGTTTTGTTTTGGTATGTTTTGGTTTGAATTTGTTTTGATTTGAATGTGTTTTGATTTGAATTCGTTTTGATTTGAATTTGTTTTGATTTGAATGCGTTTTTATTTGAATGCGTTTTGATTTGAATTTGTTTTGGTATGTTTTGGTTTGAATTTGTTTTGGTATGTTTTGGTTTGAATTTGTTTTGATTTGAATTCGTTTTGGTATATTTTGGTTTGAATTTGTTTTGATTTGAATTTGTTTTGATTTGAATTTGTTTTGATTTGAATTTGTTTTGATTTGAATGTGTTCTGATTTGAATTTGTTTTGATTTGAATGTGTTTTGATTTGAATTTGTTTTGATTTGAATTTGTTTTGATTTGAATTTGTTTTGATTTGAATTTGTTTTGATTTGAATTTGTTTTGATTTGAATTTGTTTTGATTTGAATTTGTTTTGATTTGAATTTGTTTTGATTTGAATGCGTTTTTATTTGAATGCGTTTTGATTTGAAATCATTTTGGTATGTTTTGGTTTGAATTTGTTTTGATTTGAATGTGTTCTGATTTGAATGTGTTCTGATTTGAATTTGTTTTGATTTGAATGTGTTCTGATTTGAATGTTTTTTGATTTGAATTTGTTTTGGTATGTTTTGGTTTTAATTTGTTTTGATTTGAATGCGTTTTGATTTGAATTTGTTTTGATTTGAATTTGTTTTGATTTGAATTTGTTTTGATTTGAATTTGTTTTGATTTGTTTTGATTTGAATTTGTTTTGATTTGAATGCGTTTTTATTTGAATGCGTTTTGATTTGAATTTGTTTTGGTATGTTTTGGTTTGAATTTGTTTTTGTATGTTTTGGTTTGAATTTGTTTTGATTTGAATTCGTTTTGGTATATTTTGGTTTGAATTTGTTTTGATTTGAATTTGTTTTTATTTGAATTTGTTTTGATTTGAACTTGTTTTGATTTGAATTTGTTTTGATTTGAATTTGTTTTGATTTGAATTCGTTTTGATTTGAATTTGTTTTGATTTGAATGCGTTTTTATTTGAATTTGTTTTGATTTGAATTTGTTTTGGTATGTTTTGATTTGAATGTGTTTTGTTTTGGTATGTTTTTGGTTTGAATTTGTTTTGATTTGAATGTGTTTTGATTTGAATTCGTTTTGATTTGAATTTGTTTTGATTTGAATGCGTTTTTATTTGAATGCGTTTTGATTTGAATTTGTTTTGGTATGTTTTGGTTTGAATTTGTTTTGGTATGTTTTGGTTTGAATTTTTTTTTTGATTTGAATTCGTTTTGGTTTATTTTGGTTTGAATTTGTTTTGATTTGAATTTGTTTTGATTTGAATGTGTTTTGATTTGAATTTGTTTTGATTTGAATGTGTTTGATTTGAATGTGTTCTGATTTGAATTTGTTTTGATTTGAATTTGTGTTTGATTTGAATGTTTTTTTGATTTGAATTTGTTTTGATTTGGTATGTTTTGATTTGAATTTGTTTTGATTTGAATGTGTTCTGATTTGAATGTGTTGTTTTGATTTGAATTTGTTTTGATTTGAATGTGTTTTGATTTGAATTTTTTTGATTTGAATTTGTTTTGGTATTGTTTTGATTTGAATTTGTTGTTGAATGGTTTTTGTGTTTGAATTTGTTTTGGATTTGATTGTTTTGATTTGAATTTGTTTTGATTTGAATTTGTTTTGATTTGAATTTGTTTTGATTTGAATTTGTTTTGATTTGAATTTGTTTTTGATTTGAATTGTTTTTGATTTGAATTTTTTGATTTGAATTTGTTTTGATTTGATTTTGTTTGAATTTGTTTTGTGTTTGAATTTGTTTTGATTTGAATTTGTTTTTGTTTGAATTTGTTTTGATTTGAATTTGTTTTGATTTGAATTTGTTTTGATTTGAATTTGTTTTGATTTGAATTTGTTTTGATTTGAATGTGTTTTGATTTGAATTTGTTTTGGTTTGAATTTGTTTTGATTTGAATTGTTTTGATTTGAATTTGTTTTGATTTGAATTTTTTTGGTATGTTTTGGTTTGAATTTGTTTTGATTTGAATTTGTTTTGATTTGAATTTGTTTTGATTTGAATTTGTTTTGATTTGAATTTGTTTTGATTTGAATGTGTTTTTGATTTGAATTGTTTTGGTTTGAATTTGTTTTGTTTGAATTTGTTTTGATTTGAATTTGTTTTGATTTGAATTGTTTTGATTTGAATTTGTTTTGATTTGAATGTATTTTGATTTGAATTTGTTTTGATTTGAATTTGTTTTGATTTGAATGTTGTTTTGATTTGAATTGTTTTGATTTGAATTTGTTTTTTGATTTGAATTGTTTTGATTTGAATTT